AGCCCAAGACATCCTATCCCTGACCTCACTACATAAAATTGACTAGCAATCCTGATCCCTAATATTAACCACAGACCCAAACCCAAAGACCCTATGTGGTGTGAACCCAGAAAAGCCCTGTGCGTGAATAACTGACACGAGGGGGTTACCCAACGRGTCAAAACGCAGAGAGGGAAACTTGGACAATCGTTGTTGGACAACAAGTCGGGAGTGAGAATGTGTTAGCTATTCAGCATGTTTTACTTGTTTCTCTGCTCCAACACAACTGATTCAGTGTTCAGTGACTTACTGCCACACATCCTGTAGAAGATAATTCATTCAAGTTTGGTTTGATGGAGAAAGCTCTAATACATGCAGGATGTTGACCCTTAAGGACCAGAATTTCCCACCCCTGAGTMATACACAAGTATAAACACCATGTGAATGTCCTTCCATCATACTGCTCTGTGTGGAGATGGTTCTTTATTCCTGAAATGAATGGGTTTTGGTGTGAAATGTGTAGGTCAACCCCAAAACAAAAGCCAAAGMCCTTGTGAAGATGCTGCTGAAGCTGGTAAGAAAGTCATTTTCCATAGGTCCTATATCCACATGGGCTGAAAGCATACTATCAAATTAGTTACAGAGTGGGTTAAGGTTGGCCTAGTCACTGTTTTGCAGGGACCATTACAAAACCATGATATCTGTTTGAAGGCATWGCTGAAAAGGCATTTGTGAGCAAGGCATGGAAGACAATCCAAAACATTTGATCCAAGTCYTTCAAAGTACAAAAAATGTGCAAATCTGTGACTCTGTATCTGTGGTTCTGTATCTTTTTAAATGTATGTAAATATCTAGTTGCAGCTGTATATGAGGTTGAAAAGTTCTTTGAGAGAAACCATTTTAAAATCATTTAAATGAAAAGAGTTTCCATCACTGCTCACCAAACTCCACAATCTTACAGGAACGATCTGGACAAAGTTGATAATGATCTTCCAGCCAACGTGGGAACTCCTGACCTGGAGTCTGAACTGAACCGACTGCAGGCTCTGCTTGACAGCCTAACTCTGACTTATAAAGCCAAGAAGAATGCTGTGGAAAACTCCATAGATCCCAGCAATACAGGTCAGAAACACTTACGTTATGTTGTCATAGCCTTAGGCTGTTGGAGGACAAGCTGACTATATTTCCTCACTCTGCTGCTGTCTTTACTCACTCCAATCTTCATGTTTGTACAGTAATTGTAGTCATTTCTATCAATAACGTGTTATTTTTCTGCACTACACCTGGACTAGCAATTCTGGGTTTGCGTCTCCAATCCATCCTCTCTAACTCCAGCTGACTGAAACKGACTGCTGCTCCTCCTGAGCCGGGTTCTGCTGGAGGTTTCTTCCTGTTAAAAGGAKGTATTTCTATTTCACTGTCACCAGTGTGCTGCTCAAGATGTTAGACTGTGGTAAAATGACGATTTGATGCAATCTGTTGTCTATGTGTACGTTTTATTAATTAGATTTTTTATTGTATGTGAATATTGTTGTACAGGGGCTATAGTAGTGACCAGGGAAGACAGAGCCTTTTCAGTTGCAGGAGCTCGGCTCTGGAACAATCTCCCACTGTCTGTGAGGTCTGCTGGGT